AATTTGATCCCAAGAACCCAGTTTAAAAAGAGGAAAAAAAAAGTCAAGGGCCAGGGGTGGTCACTCTGGAAGCAGAGGGAGTCAGTAGATCTCTGAGTTCAAGCCTGATCTACATAGTGAGTTCCAGGCCAGCCAAAGCTACACAGAGAGCTAAAACACAAAGTCACGCTGGAATGAGTAAAAGCACTTGCTGTACAAACGACCCAAGTTCACCCGGGCGCCGGCCTAGGACCCATGTAAAAAGCCAGAAAGGGTGGCATACAGCTAATTAGGCCCAGCACTCCCGCAGCCAGAGGGAGGCAGAGAGGGAGAACATGCCTGCTACCCTGGAGTACACTGCACAGTGGCAGAAACAAGAGAGGCCCCGCCTCAACAAAGTAGAAGGTGAGAACTAATTCCTAAAAGCAATTCTCTGATCTCCACCCAAGCATTACAGCCCATAACTAGCCAGGAAAGCCTAACTGGGGATTTCCAGGTAAGCAAGAAATCTGCGACCCCCGACCCCAAAAAAGGGTAGGGGCTGGAGAGATGCCACTGCATGCACTTAGCACACAGACATATATGTAGTCAGAACACCCACACACATGAAATAAAATAAAAATGAAGGAGGGACAGCACCCAAGACTGTCCTCTTGCCTCCCCACGCACACTACATACATGTGCATATGCACACTGTTTTATAACACGTGCTCAGCAAAGAGGGAATGTTCCGGAATCAGCAGCTTCTGCTGCCCTGGTGGGTGGATGCTATTAGTCTATTTTTATCCAGAAACATCGAGGACACTGTGGCACTTGTGAAACCCAGCCTGAGGGAATTCACTCCCTGTTCCTGGAAACCACATGTCCCAGCAAATATAAAAAATCTTTCACTTTTGATGCTGAGGAAAAGGTCTGGGAGCTTGAGGGAAACAAACAAAGGAAGTCCGGGTCTTGCCAAGAGTGGACTCTTCAATAAGTAGTGGGGGAGTTTCCATGCCAAGGTTTTGAGAAAAGAAAATCTGTGAGGAACTAAGGGCTGATCTGAAATGACTGAATCCCCAGAAACACACCAGGCACCCTTAGAAACTATTCAAACTTCCGGAATCAATCTCTGGGGACTTTCTGTTTAATCAGGACTGTTAATACCTATCCAGTAGTGTTTGTGTAAGAAATAACCAATAATGGCTGAACGCTGTAAAAAAAAAAAAACCACTTAAACCTATAAGGAAAATGCTAGATAGAGCCTGTGCTGCTGGATAGGTGGGGGGAGGGGAAGAGGCATAGCAGAAATTGGAAGGGCCTGACAGCCCTGACTTCCTAGCCTCTGGCCTAGAAGAAAAGTAGATAAGACAGACCTGTCCTGACACATTAGCCTTCCCCGTGCCCCTGCCCAGGCCTCCTAGTCAGTCAGAGAGGGCAGTGGCAACTCCAGCAGGCACCCAGCCTCAGAAGCCCAAATGGCCCAAGCATCCTGCCTGCCCAGACTCACCCCACCAAACCCCAGGCCTATTCTCTTCCAGGGTAAACCTGGCCCATCTGTGCATTGGGAACCGCCCTACCCCCGATTCACACACCACCACCCAACACTACTGGGGCATTCACAGACTACCTGGAATCCTGCTAATGGCCTCATTTTGTAGATGAGAAAAAGGAGTTCCAAGCTGGGAATGAACTTACCTGAGGCTTCAGAGTTTGTCCAGAAGCCATAGCCAGATTCCACCACAGATCTGCCTGGATTCAAGTATCCAGAGATAAAATAGGATATGAAAACGTGAAAGAGCTGTATGTGGGGTGCACAGGGAACGCCTGTCAGTCTCTCATATATCGGCCCTCTCTTCGAAAATGAAACCAGCTTCAAGATCCAGTGATAGATAAGCCTCCCTTACCCTGCAGAGGGAGGAGCTGCTCCAGGCTCTGTGATCCCAGCCCAGTCTTTTCTATTCAGGTTTTGGAATTGACTTGGTTTCTCATTGTTGGTGGTAGTTTGTTTTGTTTCCTTGTTGATGATAATGCTGGTGGTAGTGGGTTTTATTTATTTATTTATTTATTTATTTATTTATTTATTTATTTATTGTTTTTTTGGCTTTTTCGAGACAGGGTTTCTCTGTGTTGTTTTGGTGCCCATCCTGGATCTCACTCTGTAGACCAGGCTGGCCTCGTACTCACAGAGATCGACCTGGCTCTGCCTCCCAAGTGCTGGGATTAAAGGTGTGCGCCGCCACCGCCTGGCTTCTTTATTTTTGAGATGGGCGTCTTGCTGTATTGACTAGCCTAGTCTCCAACTCTGCATGCCACCTCCCCAGTTGCAGTATTACAAGTGTGTGTGACCATGCCCAGCTCCATAGCTCTCTTACCCAGGATGACTGTAATGAATGGGCTGAGCTAGGGGAAGGTGTGACCAGTTTCCATGTGTATCCTAACATCTAGACTAGCCCAGCATGCTGAGGGCTGAGGACTGGATCCACTCTACCAGCATCCAGCCTGGCACTTACAGAGTCTCATCAGAGACTGATGGCCTGGGGAGGGGCCCCTGTCTACTCCTCCAGCCCCGGCCAGCTTTGGGAGTGACGCTGCAACCCTGCAGGAACAGAAGCCCCCACCACACTTGAGACGCATCCTCTTCTCTCTCTCCTTTCTTTGCACCCTAACTAACTCCACCGAGAGTCCCCAGATGTCAACCTCAGATCAGAAAGCAGTCAGGCCTGGCTTGGTGGCATTTGCCTTTAATCCCAGCACCTGGGAGGCTGAGACATGAGGATCTCTTTGAGTTTGAGACCAGCCTGGTCTACATAGTGGATTCTGGAACACCCAGGACCACATAGACACTCTGTCTCAAAAAAGCAAAACAACAAAACAAAAAAGAAAGCAGGGACTCTGGACTCAGGACTGGAAGGCACAGCCACATCACAGGACTCAAATTTCAGTTTTAATTTGAATACTCACTTCCAGGAAACACATCCAAAGTTCAGCAATACACTGGGTAGAAAATGAAAGCATCTTTCATCTAAACTTCTTACTCAGTTAGAAAGTTTAGGGCAGGGAGAAATCTGGGCTGAACTTTCATGCCGGCCTCCTCCCCCATGCCCTGCAGAGGAAGCTGCTCAGGCCTCTAGCCACAGCCCTGCATTTTTAGTTTGGGTGTGGGTTTTGTTTTTTTAAACTATCTTCCTTTATTTTTATGTGTATAGGTGTTTTGACCTCACGTATGTCTGTGCATCCCAGGTGTACAGTGCCTTTGGATGCCAGAAAAGGGTGTCAGATCACTTGGGATTGGAGTTACAGATGGTTGTTGGCTAGCCGTGTGTGTTGGGAACTGAATCCACGTCCTCTGGAAAAGCATCAGGTGCTCTTAACCACTGAGCCCTGTTGTATTTTGTTTGAGACAAGGTCTCTCTACACAGCCCAACTCTGCATCCTCTCGTATCAGGTGCCCAAGTGGCGGGATTGCAGGTGTGTGTCGGCATGCCCAGCTTCACAGACCTGCTGATGGGATGACTATGGCATTGATTGAGCTGAGTGCAGAGAAAAGAGTAATGAGTTTCCCTGCTCGGCCTGAGAGGAGAGGGATCTTCAGGAAGATTTAGTAACTTCTCTGCAAACCTCCAGTTGGTGAATATTTATTTCCTGTTCTTTTAATTAAATAAAAATGTAAGGGCGGTGAGATGGCTCATCAAGTAAAGGAGATTGCTGCCAAGCCTGATGACCTGAGTTCAAATCTCAGGACCCAGATAGTGAAGAGGAGAACTAACTCCTGCAAGCTGTTCCCTGAGCTCCACATGTTTGCCAAGGCATAGGCATGCCCCCAAGCACATGCACAAACACACACACACACACACACACACACACACACACACACACACACACACAAATGTGTTTTTAAAGCTGTCTACTACATGAAAGTTAAATCAAAGAACACACAGTTACACAGTCAAAACACACAACAGAAGCACACATGTATTTTTCAACAGTCAGTTCCTAATGTCTCAGCAGGGTTCAAGCTTTATACGCAGTTTATGGCTCTAACTTCTGTGGTCTTAGGTCTTCCTGGGTTTAAACAGAAAACAAAACAGTCTGGTCTGGCATTACCAGAAACTGAAAACGCAGCCTGGAACGAGACTCACGTGACTATTCTGGGAGCTGCTAACTTTTAAGTGATGTTTCACTCAGGGGAACAGAATGAAGTTGAACTTAATTAAAATCCACAGCAGGTACTCAGCTGGAACACAATCCCAACTGAGTTGTTTGCAAAAACCTACAATCTGAACTAAGTCAATAAAGTCCCTGTTAAATCCAAGAAGACATTTGCCCAGTTACGATCTCAAGACCTCATGAGTTAACCAAGAGGCCAGGGCTGGGGTGTGTCTCAGCTGGCAGAGTGCTTGCCTAGCCTGAAGGAGGGTTTCCAAAAAAACTGAGTATGGGGCCCACATCTATAATTCCAGCACACAAGAGGTGGAGGCAGGAGAATTAGAAGTACAAGGTTGCCCTCACTATATAACAAGTTTGAGGTCAGCCTGAGCTACCTGAGGCCTTATCTCAAAAACAAAAACAAACAAATCAGAAAGAAAAGAGAAGTGGAGATGGAGGGAAGAATGGAACGAAGGGGAAGCCAGAGCTGGGAATTTGCTGGCAGCAGGGATGGTCATGAAGTGAGTCAGCAGACGACAGAAAAGCCCACTGCCAAGCAGGTTCAACTTCAGACCCCCCCCCCCCAGGAACCTGTCCCGTATTCCTGGTTTGGTAGGAAGACCCAGCCTCCAACTTGCCCTCCTCTTCGGCCTTCCATTGCGCCTGTTTCAAGCAGGGTGGCTTCCAACCTGCCCACTTCAACAAGTGCTGGCGTCACTCAACAGGTGGCAGCTGACCCACAGCTGATACCTGATGCCCCAGTGGAAGGAAGTGTGGTTCCTTCACTACAAAGCTCCTCTTCGAAACAGCAAGTCAGACCCCGAGAAGACAAGGGTCATCACTGAAACACTACCCCCTCCCTGGCCCACCCTCGGCCCCCATCCCGTACTTACTATGGGTGCTGGCATCTTCTTCGGCGATGTGTGGGGCTCACCTTTAGCTCAGCAGCTGCGTGGATGCCTAAGGCACAGAGGGAGCAGAGCTTATTATGTCTCTAACAAGAAGCAGGGTCCCCAAATCTTCAGGAGCGGGTGGCTTCTAGCAAGGCCCTTTAGGAATAGCTACCAAAATCCTCCAACTTTCTCGCCGCCGGCCTCTGATCTGCTCTTCACTTGCACTTGGAAGGACAAATCCCTCACTGGAAGCCAGAGGCGGCTCACAGGATCGCTGGGCGCTCGCACTCTTTCTGGCCAGGCACTCTCGCGCGTGCCCGGCTGCTTTTCTCTGCGCCCAGCGGTTGCCAGGCGGATGGCAGCTACTCGCCTGACTTGTTTACGTCCGCCCAGCGGCTCTCCAGCTTCCAGACAGCCCGCGGGGACCCGCAGAGGCACCGGGGCATTCTCACCTCTGCTTAGGTCCCAGAAAGAAGCGCTTCACCCTCCTCGGCCAGGAGTAGGCAAGCGAGGCCAGCGCAGTCAGGACTGGTTTAATGGCTGCAAAGTCCGGGCCGCGCCAGGTCACCCCGCCCTCCTCCTGTGACTGGCTAATGAGCGCATCACCAAGGCCTGCTGTGTCCTCTGGGGTCACTTAGATGCCTCCCTCCTGCTTCGTGCCTGGCCACTGGGCTCCTCTGCCCCAGATTTCCCTGCCCCTGACAGCCTTCACCACACCCCTCTGCCAGTGCCTAATGTGTAAAAACACATCGCATTACTTTTTATCTTTGTACACGAATCATACCGGAGGGTTATTTATCTTTCCACTCAAGAGAGGCACATGCATGTTATCCTAGTATTTGGGAAGCTAAGGCAGGAGAATTGCCATGAGTTCAAAGTTAGCCCAGGCTACAATTTGAGACCTTGTCTCCAAAATAATTAATTAATAATAACAATAATAATAGCTGGGTCTAGTGGTTCATGCCTTTGGTTCCTGCACTCAGGAGGCAGAGGCAGGCCTATCTCTGTGAGTTGGAGGCTAGCCTGCTCTACATAGTGAGTTCCAAGGGAGCCAGGGCTGCATGGAGACCTTGCCTCAAAAATTAAAAACATAATAATAATAATAAAAACAACATCAGTAATATGGGGCTGAAGAAGATAGCTCAGGGGTTAAGAGCACTTGATGCTCTTGCAGAAGGCCTAGGTTTGGCTCCCAAAACCCACATAATGGCTGACAACCATGGGTAACTCCAGTTCCAGGGGATCTGATGCCCTCTTCTGACATCACTGAGTACCAGGCACACACCTGACGCAGAAGTAGACATGCTGACAAAACACACATACTCGCTGTTGTGGGGTACTCACCAGAGACAGCTGCTCGGACACGGGTTTAACAGTAGAATGTCTTTATTAGCTGGACAGCAATTACATTGGGTGTTTCAGGCTCTCAGTGTAGCCCGGAGCCTTTCTCGGGGAGCTTTTAAATACGAAACCATGTTCTGGGCTGACACACTTCTGTTAACAAGAACACCTAACCAGAAGCGGAACTACAGAAGCCAAAAGGCAAGGTTAGTACATTTAGAGACTTTCCCAGAACTATGCGGACTTGGAGGTCTTTGTTTTAGTTTTGGCAGGTGGTGCTGTGTGCTGAGTTTTACAACCTGAATAGTATTTCCATCATGGAGTCAGCTATTCTAAGGTCTCAGGGCCTACTAAGTCTGAGGTCCTGTCATACTCATAAAACAAATTTCAAAACATTTTTAATTGGAGTTAAAAAATACACCCCTGACATGTTGATAGAGGAACTTGAATGTGTGTCCTCTTTTGGTTTCCTTTTCAGTATTCAGAGAATACTTAATTAGTTTCTGTAATCAAACCTATGTGAATACAACCTTAAGTGTTTAAAGCCCCAGCACAAATGAAAACAGCAAAATAAACATTTTGAGCCAATATGGCTGTTAACTTCTGTACAATGCTCTCTTCTGTTTCCTAAAAGCAGGAGATGAGGCCTGGATGGTAGCATATGCCTTTAAACCCAGCTCTCGGGAGGGAGAAGCATGAAGAGCTCAGTGAGTTCAAGGCCAGTCAGGGTTAGGTAGTGAGACCCTGTCTCATAAGCAAAATAAAACAATAATAAAGCAGGAAGTGAAATTCCCATGACAGCTTCCCTCACTATATCAGAAAGAAACCATCCTCCAGAGGTCCTGGACTCCATTTCCAGCACCGCCCCCAACAGATAATAATAACTCGCCATTTCAGTCTCCCGACTTAAGTACTTCCGCAGACTTTAGCTATCCTTTGTCCATGGTATAGAGTAACTGACTCTTCCCCAGCTGCTTCCTGGGGTCCTTGTCTTCTCCTCTTCCTCCTCTTCTTCACACTCCCTATTTCTTCCTGATCCTGGGAGTGGCACTTGGGGTCTAAAGACACTAGCAATTGCAGTTGGGTCACAGGTCCATAAGTCTTCATTTCTCCATGCAAACCCCCGTGATACACAAGACTCGAGGCAGGGAAACCTGTATGCTTTTTCTCCTGTTCATCTATGCCATGTCCGTTTAAGTCTCAAAGCCAACCGGGAGTTGAGGGCAGAGTTGGATTTTTGCCTTTCCCTACAAACCTGTGTGAAACTTAAAAGCCAGTCAGAGGGAAGGGTTTGGTGGCATACAGCTGCACACTGAGGTAGAAGCTCACTAGAGTCTGGAAGTTCCAGACCAGCCTGGTCAACATAGAGACCTCAGTACAAATGGGAGAGGCAGGGACACCTAGGAATTGTAGATCCAGCTGAAAAGACTTTTAACTTTAAGCCATAATATATCCCCAAATGTCTTCATATATATCCCCAGTGGCACACAGTTAGCATTTTATGACTGAATGAATGACCAAGTATAGTCCCTTGCTCTGCACGGAGCTCGGACTCCACAGAAGTAAAATGAATTCTAAAAAAAAAAAAAAAAAAAAAAACCCGAAGCCAGATATTGGGGTGAAAGCTGGGAGATCAGAAGAATAGGGCAAACCATAGCCAACCTCACCTCACCAACTCCTCAGCTTCCAGAGAGACCTACTTCCTGTATACTCATGTCTATATGCCTTTTTTTTTTTTTCTTTTTGGTTTTTTTCCAGTTTCTCTGTAGCTTTAGAGCCTGACCTGGAACTCACTCTGTAGACCAGGCTGACCTCAAACTCACAGAGATCACCTGGCTCTGCCTCCCGAGTGCTGGGACTAAAGGCGTGCGCCACCACCGCTCTGCCTATATGCCTTCCTGTTCTGCCATCTCACTTCCTCTCTTCACCCACCTACATCACTTCCTGTCTGTCTGTACAGATCTCCAGACCTCTATGGTTAGTGCTGGTATTAAAGGTGTGTGCCACCATGCCTGGCTCTGTTCCCAGTGTGGCCTTGAACTCACAGAGATCCAGATGGATCTCTGCCTCCTGAATGGTAGGATTAAAGGCGTGTGCTACCATTGCCTGACTTCTATGTTTATTGTAGTGGCTGGCTTTTTCCTCTGATTCTCAGATAAGCTTTATCGGGGTACACAGATTAAAATATCAACAGGTTCAGCTTTTTATTGGACGTGTTAACAAAGAAGGTTTAGTCAAAAAGACCAAAGTCCGTGTCATCATCAAACTCCTCAGATTCTTCCTTCTTTGCTTCCACTTTCTTCTCCTCAGCTGGAGCAGCAGCAGTGGAGGGGCAGGGCCGCCTGCTGGCTCAGCTCCAGCTGCTAGAGAAGGCCCAGCCCCTACATTGCCGATGAAGCTCCCTTGTTGACATTGGCCAGGGGCTTTGCAAATAAGCCAGGCCAGGTCCAGCACTGACACCAGCTGCTTTAAGAAGGTCACTGATCTTATCCTCCATGACCGCCACCTCACAGTCATGCAGGGTGAGGGCGGAGTAGATGCAGGCGAGCTCAGACATGGAGGCTATGTTTCGGACTGCTGGCTCAGTGCGTGTTACAGGAAGAAGTGAGGGCCTCACTACAACGTGGCCTTAGCTTCCTTGGAAGGAACAAGCACCCTGGCGGCAGCTGAGGGAAGGCTAAAATGAATTTTTGTTTGTTTGTTTTTTAAAGACAGCGTTTCTCTGTGTAACAGCCCTGGCTGTCTGGCTGTCTCTCGAACTCACACAGATCTGCCTGCCTCTACCTCCCAAGTGCTGGGATTAAAGGCATGCACTACCACCACCCAGCTCTAAAATGAATTCTTAATCATATCTATATTCCTCCATTGCATGCCAAAACTGAGCCTTTGAAGTGAGACTGCTCAGGCCAAAGCCTGGCCTTGCCCTTTGCTACTTTAAGAGACTACAGTGTATAGATTCCTCTGAACCTCATTCTGTTGATCTGTAAAATGGGTTGCTGAATGCTATTAGAAAATGTATAAGAATATATTTCCCAAAGGAAGATCTCATTAACCTGCTGAGCACTGTCTGCCATGTGGTAAGTCCTTGTTGAGGATGTGTTAGTAACAAGAGAGGCACACAGTCATCCACATCACAGGACATTCACCTGCTTCTTGATAAGAAGAGTCAACATTAATAAATGCCATTCTTTTATGTGCTCTATCCCTCAACCGATCCATGGCTAAGCACACTGGGCTAGTGACTGTAAGGTCGCCTAAACCCAGGATGTGGCTGGTGAGATGGCTCAGCAGGTGGAAACATTTGCCGCTTTAGCCTCGACCTGTGTTAGAACCCAGGACCTGCACAGTGGGAGGGAAGGGCTCCTGTGAGTCCCCGCCTGCACGCATGCACCATGGCATATGCGCTCTCTCTCTCTCTCTCTCTCTCTCTCTCTCTCTCTCTCTCTCT